TCCTTTCTCCCGCTCCCCCCGGGACAGAGGAGCTGCTGGGGCGCAGGCAGACCCGGCCCATGCGCTGCTGCCTGCAGAAAGCTGCCCCCCGCTACCCGCCCAGCAGACAGGCCTGTTCCTCCTCGCCGACACACTCAGACTTCCCCATCGCACGCTTGTGCCCTGGGCAGACACACAAACCCCACCATGCAATGCTCAAAGACACGTTTTGGCCACCAAACCGCCCTCCGTGCCGCCGCAGCGGGCGGCCCTGCAGGCGCTGCTCCTCAGCGCTCCCCATGCATGGCCCGGCCGTGAGATGCTGTGATAAATTTGAATTATTCTGTAGCACAGAAGGGCATCTGTCCGCTCCCGTGATGGGGTTGCTGCCCGTGCATCAGCCGGCGCAGTGATGCTGCCTCTGCGGCAGAGTTTCGAGCTGGGGTGAGGCGGTGGGCGAGATGGAGGAGGGCAGTGACAACGGGCTCGCGAGGTGGGAATGTTCTCGGCGGCTGTCTTAACGCCCATGTAGGCGCTCCAGCAGAAGGGGGCTTTGAAAAATGGGGGGTGCATTGGGAATTTCGGGGGCAGGTTGAAAAGCAGCCCCTCGGCGGGGCGAGGAGTGGGGGGCTGCTGCGTAGGGCTTGCTGTGGCGATGTGCCTGTCCTAGACAGGAGACTCAGCCCCGTTTCTCTCTTTCCTCTCAACAGATTTCTCCAACCAAGTCAATTCGACATCCCTGAACTCTCCCACGAGCCGAGGGCCCATGGCCACCCCGTCCCTCCACCCGTCCATTGGGCCGGGCATCGGCTCTTCGCTGGGCTCCCCGGGCCAGCTCCACTCGCCCATCAGCACCCTGAGCTCGCCCATCAACGGCATGGGACCTCCGTTCTCCGTCATCAGCTCCCCCATGGGCCCACACTCAATGTCCGTCCCCTCCACCCCCAGCCTGGGATTCGGCACCAGCAGCCCGCAGGTAAGGGGAAGGTGGCAGGGACGTTGCTGCTGCCTGTTTACCCGGGGAGAAGCCACCTCCCTGGGTTTGCTGATCCAGAACTGGCTCTGGGCTCCCCGCTGCAAGCCCTGGCTCGCTGGAGGCTGGGCTGGCTGGGCACGCACAAGGAGATAAACCCCATCTCAAGGAGGTGCTGAAGGGAGAAAAAAAGCAGAAACCCAAGGGGGAAACTAAGCCGGAGGCATCTTGCCTCTCTGGCCAGAGTTGGGGGGCTACAGCCACCTTTGGGGCTGCCCTCGGTGGGCTCCAAGGGACCAGCGCAGCCGGGCTACAGCCATCCATCCCCTCCCATCGCTTGTCCCCACCCATCCTCCCCTTTCATCCCCAAGGCTGGGGATGAAAGGGGAGCAGTGACTACCCCTGGGTCACCCGGGGGCTGCTGTAGCTCTGGCAGGAGCCTGAGCCACCCTTGGACCGTCTGCACCCCATGTTCCCCACCCAAGCAGTCCCATCCCCTCCCTGGGAAGCTGCACATCCCCTCCGAGGCCAGCCCACGGTCCCCATGGCACACGCCGAGGGGTCCCCTGCCCGCTGCCCCTTTCTCCTTGCAGGGGAGGGACTGGCATTCGCTGGCTGAAGATTATGTAAAAAACCTCCAACTACGGAGAGATAAGCTCTTTTTAAAAATAGCAAGATCGGGGCGCGCAGGCCAGCCCATGCCACCTGTTGCTGGCTGCTCGCACGGTATATGTTTAGTAAAAGGGCAGATTAAGGAATTGGCCGCCACCTGCCACTCGCTGCGGGTTTATTTATTCCAGGCCTTCTCTGGGAGTCAAGCACCTGCCGGCACCTTTATTTTTAAATATTGGCCTGATTTATTTCCAGAGATAACAGGTCCTTCTACCCGGGGCTGGGGAGGGCTCTGCTGTGCTAAGTTCCAACCCTGGGGACCCCCAGGCACTTTCCCCAGCATCCCCATGTTGGCTGGAGGAGTGGCAGCTTTATTTGACTTTTGAGGGGCTTCTCCAGGCAGGATCCAGCCCGTGACCCCCAGAGATGTGGGGGAACCTGGGGCTGGGTCCCGCTCCCCAGTGCAGGAGATGTGTGGGGTGGACGTGCCACCTCCCGTCCCATGGCCAAGGGAAGAGGAACTGAAACGGCGCCTGGGAATGGGTGGTCAGAGCAAAATTAGCAGCGAGAGCACCAGGATGGTGGGGAAGCAGTGGGAAGGGGGGATGTGAAGCAATGCAGGGGTGAGCCGCAAGCCGGGGAGGAAACAGGGAAGGGGCGATGCAGCCCCAGCGTCAATTCTGAGGCGCGGTTGGGTTTAGGGGCCGGCGAGCCGGGGGAACTGAAATGAAACGCAGCCACAGGACAGAAAGGGGAATTGAGAGCGTGGTCAGATGGTGCCGGGGAGTGAGGTAGCAGCACGGCGGCTCCAGCCCTCTCGGCGCGGTGCAGGCGCCCGTCCTTTGCTCAGGGACTTGTCTTAAGTGGTTTTCCTAGAGGTGACAGTCAGGAGGTCTTCAGCCTAATGACTCCTGCCATCTGTTCCCTGTCTGGGCGCATTAGGTCCCTGTCCCCATCCCTGCAGCGGGTGGAAGCGCCTACCTGGGCCCGCGGAGTAGCACAGGAGGAGGAGGAGGGTGCGGGAGGATGCTCGGAGGGGAGCGTGGCCCCCCGCATCACTGCACCGGTCGGCAAAGCGCCGGGGGTAATGAGGCGTGCGGCCCCCGTCGCCGGGCGGGGATGGCACTGATGGAAGGTGGTTTGAATCAGATGGCAGATGCCACTTGCCATCAGGCCATGCCTCGTCGCCTCTGGAAAAGCCAGCGGAGCAGAAGGGCACGGGGCGTGCGAGGTGCGGTGGGTCCCACAGGGTGGGTCCCTTCCACCCCAGCTCCTGCTGGCACCGGGGTGGGAAGGAGCCAGCAAGCTCCCAAAATCCGGGGTGCTTTCCCTCTCCAGTTTGGTCCAGTGGAGGTGAGGAACCAGCAGCTCTTGGTGCCAGTGCTGGAGGATGCTCAAAGTGCTCCCAGCGCCCTCCTTCCAGCACTTTCCAGGACCTTGCACCGTTTCCAAATGAAGCCCCAAATTCTGGGCACAAGGCACAGGATCTGAGCACCCAGACCCCCTCCAGGAGGAGATGCTGGCACCAAGCTGGGCCAGGGGTGAGATTTGCAGTGGTGAGCAAGGTCCTAGCCAGACTGGGAGGTTAGACCCAGCAGCTCTGCTGCTTCCTGGGATTTAGCACATATTTAAACCCTCTTACCTAAGAATTCTGGGAAGACAGGGGAAAAAAAAAAAGCAGGATTTTCAGTAAGAGCTGAAAGGGAGGGACTTTCCACGGGATTCTCAGGGTTGCACCCGCGCAGCCGCCCCAGGCATCGCTGGCAGCAGCTCGGGGCGCCTGGGGGCGAGCGGGGAGAGATCAGACACGGGATTAGGCTTTTCCAGAGCCGCTCTCTGTCTTTGCACAATGCTCTTTGTGCGGGTGCCTGGGGGACCGGAGAAGGGGTTTGGTTTTTTTTTTGGATGGGAGGAGGAATAAAGCTCTGCTTGCCAGAAGGGACAGGATTCGGTCCCCGGTGCAATGAACTGAACAAGGAAGGGAGAGGAGCCGAGGAGTCCCGGCGTCACGGGGGAAGCAGAGCCTGGTTCCTCCCTCGTCGCTTCTCACTTGCTGAGCCGGAGTTGTCCTGCCCCAGAGCAGAAGTGCTGTGCCAAGGCCGGGGGCTGCTGCCTCCCCTTCTGCCTGCTCCCCGCCTGCACGTGCTGCCGGTTTCGCTCGGCAGCCGGCGGCGGCAAGGGGAAGGCACGGGGCAGGCGCCGGCCTGGTGTGGGAACCCCGGGGTGCGCGTGGTGCCTGGGCTGAGGTTTTGGGCCCGTGCTGTGAGAGGAACCGATGACTTCCCCCGCCCCAGCCCCCGGCTGACTCAGCTCTGACTGGGGTGTCCTGCTGATGCACGGGACCCCCTCGCCCTCCTGAGCTGGTGCAGGGGCTTGGCCCGTCTTGCTCTGACCATCACCCCCCCCCAGCT